TTTTCGCCAGCGTCAATAATTGAGCTCATTTGTTTAAGTTCAGAAATATTTATGTCGTTTATGTGAAATTTCTATATGATTTTTCTTATTCTTTGTATTTCGAACATGTAGAATGTCTTATAGACTACTGTTAGTTTTAATCTCGCTCGATTATAATATATTGCAATAAGGAAAAAGGGTCGTTTTCTTACCTTCAGGATACTCCTGCTCGTGTTCGCCATTCGAATGCACATGCGGTATGCAGTCAAGCGTCTCGACTTATCAGCAGTCTCATCATCCTCAGACGAGCATGTATACCCAACAGACTCCGCTGAACGACACCCCCTACTGGCTCCAGGACACCGTGCCTCAAGAAAACACTCTGGGGTACAATCTAGCCAATCAGGTGCCCCAAGAAGCTACCTATCCCGATTTCCCACCGTTCACCGGCGAACTGCTCCAGCCGGAGGAAATCTTTCAGCTGGATCAACCGCTGAGACCGGAATTCACGATGAATTCTCAGGAAGTGGCCAGATCGCCGCCGACCCTGCTGGATCTCGGAAGCGGTACCATCAAATATGAGATGAAGCAACACCAGGACCATGGTTATTGGAACCAGTTCCTCAACGAGGACTCCAGCAGTAGTCACTTGAGCATTCCTCAAGATGAGAGGCTCAATTTTCCTGGTTTCGAGACGGACAAAGATTCAAACGGGTTCTGCGCCAAACGAACGAACATGAATCACTTCGTCTCAGACAAAGAAATAAATCATCCTTTGAGCAATCATCCGTTGAACTTCCAAGATTATCAACGGAACCAGAATCATAAGAGTTTCGTAGAGGGAACGGTGAAGAGCGATCATGAGGCGAATTATTGGGCACAGAGTCAACCGGACGATCGGCTGAACTTCCCGGGTTTCGATCCTCAGAAGGAAGACGATCTCTTGAATTCCAGGAGAGAGGTACACTGTTTTCCAAAAGAAAATTGCCAGCCAGGATTGATGGACAGAGGAAATTACGTCTACGGGAAGAAAGAAAACGGAATGGTCGATTCGGTTCCCGCTCGTCCTAGTCGCAGTCCAATGGAGAACAAACATTATTCCTACGACGGATATAATCAGTTGTTCGAACACTCGAACGCGAAGAGTCATTTAACCAACCGAACGCCTCATCAGAATACTAATCGCATGATCCTCGACGAGAGACTGCAAAATAATTACGGGCACGAGGTAAACCCGGACAGCGACAGACTATTCCCGGACGCGAACGGCTTAGACACGTCGATGCAGTCGCAGAATAGTCCGGAACCTTTCTTCTACCCAAGCAACGATCGCTGCCATTACACTTGCGAGGTGTTAGACACGCGGATCCCCCAGATGACTGCTAATACCGGAGCGTCGCAAACGGGGATTAATAACTACGAAGTGACTGAACTCGATATACCGTCGTTCGTTGATTACACGCTCGTAGGCATGCTCTGCTCGGCGGACGAGGACACGTCGAACTTACTGCCCGGTTGTCCTCAAAACGCGCAGAGCTACGTTCCTCATCATTAAATCATCACTGTCTGCGATGAATATCTTTGTTTGTATTATAGTTATGAAATATACGATAGTTGCACCTTCGGACTCGTTGGATAATCGTCAACTTTTGTTTACCAGTCCTACCCTGTCGAGTATCTTTCCTGTCGATATTATTACTGTATATTATAAGGGTGATTGCGATTCGAAGTGTTCTGACGTCAACGGAAGAAAGCGTCTCCACTTCCTATAAACGAAAACTCCGAACTGTTATTTGAAATGAAGGAAATAAAGAAATTTTTGTTAACAGTAAATCGTCTCATTCGATCTTTCTGAATATTGTCACTTTTTATTATTAAAAATCAAACGGAGGCGCAGGTTCTAAGCGTACACGATTCGGAAAAAAGCCACGTGATTCACTCGTAATTTATTTTTATTTGTAACAGATACTCTCACGATCACAATTGTATGTATGTTACGTAATATTAATCATATACCTATTTTGCATTACACTTTCTCGGATTACATACGCGACACTCGTTTTTCTTTTTCTTCTTCTTTTTCCATTCCTTTTAAACAGGCGCTCATCTCCCGTGTCTCCTTCAAACATACGATTCGTCATATCTATTTTCATCTTTTTTTGTTCGAATTTTTAGGATTCTCGTGTTTATACATATTTTCCTCTCCTCGTTGCCTTTCTCGTTCGACTCGTAATAGCTACCGAAGAAAAGAGTGCTCTCGGACAACGCATCCCCGCGAAAGCGTACGATCGAACGTCGACGATCAACGAAGAAGAAAAAACGGAGACGCCCTTGCGCGCGATCTAAATTACTATAATCGAAAAAAAAAAAAAATATTTGACCACGAAACTCATGCTCGCGAATCCGGTTGATCGATTCAATTATTAGTGTTGCTGTTCCACGCAAATCCCGCCACAACTCAGAGCTATGTGATTCTCGCTCTATGGCTGTAGTTATTTTTCCCCTGGAAAAATCGTTAGACACTAGCAGGAAAATGAAAAGCTGACAGCTCGCTCTTCTGCTACGAAAAAAAGAAAGGATAACGGCATCGTCGTTGAAAGAAGCAAACTTAAAAAATTATCGTGTCATGTCATATGACGTCGCCTAATATTCATCTCTTCCATCGATTCTCATGTCTGTTTTCATTTGTTTTTTATTTTTTTATTTCTCATTGAATCCACTCCTTTTTGTACGTGAATTACGATTACCCCTCACGCTGAGTGTATATATAAACCTTTCTAAGCGTATAAATTTTGGTCAGTAAAAAAAAGAATATACTAGAATATCGAATTACATTTTGTCCTATACACGTCACACGTAAAACAATTTCTATCATCACTACGCTTACATAATTTTTTTTTCTTTTCATTCTTTTTCAATTTTTTGCTCTCTTTCTCTCTCTCTCTCTCTCTGTTTATCTCTCACACACGCACTCGGATACACTCAATCATTTTCTTTTAGGCGTCTAGGTAAAAAAATGGGAGGGGAAGAAACGACGTTTTCGTTTATATGTCGGAGAATCACTAGAAAAATAAAAACGCTGCTCTAACCATTCTCTATCCTCTCTCCTCTTTCTCTCTCTCTCTCAATCTTTTCTCTCCGACGTTTGTTTCTCTCAACTCTCACTCCATTTCTCTATACAAATTCTTCTGAGATGTGGCTCCGACACGTACAGATCGCGACGCGGTGACGTTTAACAAAAGTTTCGCGCGTTCTTCTCCGCTCGCGAGAGACCAGACCATATTTTTTCCAAGCCTTTTCCCTCTTCATTTCGCCGGAGTGAACCAAAGACGATCAACGAGTTCTCCGAACACGTGAGATCTATCACGGAAAAGTTGAAAATTTTATCACTATATAATACGAATATCCGTTTACGCGTTTGCACGTGTGACTCGTCGCCTTTTCATCGCTGTGAAAACGTCATTCGACGAATGACAGCCGGAACTTAACAGGCACGTAGCTTTGATATTTGCATAAGTGTACGTCCGCTCGAAATGGACGAGCAAACTCGGAACTACTCAAAAAGTTGTGACATTCGAATAATCGTCCTTGAGAATTTCCCAACATCCTAGACCAAGTATCATCACGCCGTTCAACGAAAAGGGGAATTAGTCACGTGTTTCAAATTTTTATTTATACTAGATTGCAACTAACCGCGCGAACCAACTCTCAGCAGCCGACTTGCTCGATATATGAGTTCGAGCGTCATAAAATTAGGGGAGGAAAAGGAACACGGTCGTTCGCCGATATTAAAAAGGAAATAGGATCAGCAATATGACCGTGCTAGAGATTCGAGTCACGATTGATTCTTAATCTCCTGATGGACTCTTAAACGTCTTTCAGAGACTGGAATTCGAATTCTATGATTTCATGTAGCGCGAAGCTTTGCAATCGTCGATTGAATGAGAAAATTAATGAAGGACGTTTACAAAGTTTTCCGGATCAACTTCGTTCAAAGAATTCTGCGAATTCGTAAAATTTTCTAGATCTTCGAAAACGTATCTAAAAGTGCAACCAAAAGATTAGAAAAGACAGTTTCTTAATTTCCTCGAAGAAAACTAGCTCGGAGTAGCACGTCTGAGCACAAGCTGCCGCGTCGTGTGACCGCCGCGCGACGTTGCAGCTAAATGCTCGTCTCTAAGCATCTTAAGCTTTCAGAGTGCAAGATTCAAGCGAGCGTGTTAGCACGAAATCGTATAAGTGCTGCATCAAGTGCAAGATGCATTATTTATCCGAAACAGGAGTTTACTTTCAAGGAAGTGTAAAGGAAACTGTGTCTACTTCAAGTCGTGGAAAGAGAACTAAATAGGAACCGTAGGTCGCGTGCGCGTGAAACTGCTCGATTCTCGTACACGAGGAAGATGCGTTTCTTGTTTTTTGTAAAGCATATTTGGTAAAAGCCCCATATGTCGTTTATTTGTGGTTTCAATGTTCTACGTAGAATCACTGAATCCTTTGTCTATCAAAGCGTTTTAACTATCACGACTTAAGAATCCATCAAATACGTGTATAGTTTGAAATTCGTTAATCTATACACTCGCGTTGATTCGTATTTTGATTCAGAGTCGAGCAAACGATTGATAATAATTAAGGAACGACCGTTCCAACGTGTAATAACGACGCGAAGGCCTACCACTGTTGCTTCTAGGTACGATGCGAGGATCAATCCTCGAATCAAGAGAACGCATTGAGCTTCCCTGTGTACGAGCAGCGTCCCTTTGCAGATTCACAGAACGTCGGATCCTCGAGTACTTCGGAAGCTCGACGATTGTGCGATTTCCGGAGACTAAGTGCGTTCAAATCTACGGTGGAAGGAAACGTCTGAATAGAATTCGTGCTAAATCCATGATTTTGCCCGCTGTACTCGATCGACAGCAAGGAAAAGGAATTTTTTAAAACGAGCTAACGCTAAGAAAACGATAATCTACAAAAACGAATCTGCGTTCTGCTTTTGTTTAAATTTTCTTATCTAACTTATCAGCATCGTACAGGCCACCAACGGCGGCTTTGCTTCAACTCGAATTACTAGCCTTCCATCGATCCTTGAGATTACTTTCCGATTCAGACCTTTCGACGAAATTTCGAGGAAATACAATTTTTCACGTCCAACTATTCGAAGTGCGAAGTCACATTGGCAAAAGACCAAATGATTTCTATTATACGTTGAGCGTCGTAAAACATGCTTAGCTTTTGAGACCGGAATATTTTGACCGTTTTCATACAATTTAGGCGATTTAGGTCGAAAAGGATGCCAGGATCGTGGGAGGGCAAAGTCAACGAGCGACTCAGCTCGTCCTTGAATTACCGCCCGACGATTCAGGTACACTGTGTGCAATGCGTTCGCGATTCTTTAATTCGGCAGAAGAGAAAGAGAGAAAAAATAGAAAGAGAGAGAGAGAGAGATTACAGGGGAGAAAAGTGTACGTGGACCGTTCCGAGAGCGGGCGACGAACTCATTATCACCCGTCCGACCCCCGAGCAATTAAGAATTTTTCCTTATCGTCTACGAGTAAGTAGAAGTGAAAACGTCGAGTCTAACGATCACAGCTATTGTACGATACTATTCGACGAGTATCTAGAAACTGTCACGTAGGAGAAAATGATAGCGATAATAATCAATAGCGATTAAGAATCGAAGGACCTCTGATTATCGTCGCGAAGGAAGTTAAACGTCGGTCTCTCGTAGTACGCTCCTTTCTCTTACACTGTTCAAGCGAGGTTCTTGAACATTATATATATGTATATATATATACATATATACATAATTCTCTTGAACGTAAGTCATTGAACAATAAAAAAAATGTATATGTGTGTTTTGTGTGTTGCGTGAATACATGTGTAGATACAGTTCGCACATGTGTATGTATATGTATATATATAATTATATATATACCTATAAAATTCATTCTACAAAGAGTTTCGTATCGCACCGGGTTTATCGACAACGGAGCTCGAGAAGTCTAAATCTTTCTCATTTTTTAAGCTTACGCCGCGCTTACGATACGACGTAAAGATATAATTACGCAAGTATCCTGCGTGGTCTTTACGTTCTTCGCGTTTTGTCATACAACGAATTTTATCGCTGAGACCATTCGCGACTCGAGAAAAAGAGGACACGGATTTACCACGAGATACCCGAGGAAAAAAATCGTTAGAAGTTAATTAGTGTGGTCGGTGAGAAGGAAAGGCAACACCTACGTTCTTCTCGATTATTTTATCTTGTCTAAATTAAACGCGGCATCCCTAACGCGTCGAGCCGCGCGTTTCGAGATTATTTTCGTTTTACAAAACTTTTTACTTAATAACCACGGCTTAGAACCTACGTGTATGTCGTGTGTGTACGTGTAGATTTGTTATGAGACTCCTCGCACGCATGAATATTGCACGCTTCGGTAAATCGTGTAGGTACACACGTTTATATAATGTATATATATTATATATCACATATATAATATATAATAGTCTGCATATACAAAGCATGCGTGATTCTTCGTTATACTTGCATTTCTTGCCTCTATTTCAATTAGTAATTTTTCTTTCTTTGTTTACGCTCATTTTTTTGTAAAACCTTACTCTACGGCGATTTTCTTTTCGTCATTTTGTTTTCACACAGTGCAAAGACAGTGGTAGTAATAATAGTAATAATAGCTACAGTAATAGTTTGAAATTGTAGAACGAAGAAGTTTCGTCTTTCAAAGTTCATAAACCGAAGCGAAAAGAACAAATTCTCTTTCTGTCGCGCGCTTTAAACTCTCCTTTGAGCGCGGTTAGCTAACTCAAGTTGTAGGACGAAAATAGTCCATGAAGTTTAATTAATAATATTATTATTATTA